TTACTAATGCACTCAAGCTTCTAAAGCAGGGGTGGGCAAACTGCAGCCTGGGGGCCAGATGTGGCCCACCAGGCCATTCTATCTGGCCCACAGGGCCCCTAAAAAATTTAGAAAATTAATATTAATCTGCCCCTGGTTGCCTGTCATGCGGCCCTCGGTGGCTTGGCAAAACTCAATAAGCGGCCCTCCGCCCGAAATAATTACCCGCCCCTGTTCTAAAGAAATGAATCTTTGATTTTTATATATACTTAAGGAAGGATTTCAGAGTCCCAGGAGGCAGTTAGGTGTGCCCAACTTTCAGTGGGAAATGCTTACATAAATGCCTTATTTGCCTTTTAAAAACCTCCCATCTTTCCCCTGTAAGAGAGATGTGGCAGTGCTTGTCTGTTTGACTAGTGTGCATGACAAAACAGCCTTTTGCTCTATAATTTCTGACTGTAACATCCTTTTTTCTGCCTTTACGATGACACAAGCCCAGCAGCTCTTCCTCCTTTGCTGCTGGAGGCGCCTCAGCATAAGTTTCAAATGTCCATGTTCTTGCAGGGGTCTGGCTCTGGATTCTTCTACCTCCATTTCCCTAAGTGGGAATTTGGGACACCTGATCAGTGAAGTTTCAGGCCCATATGTGATGGGGGGTATACAGTCTGGAAGATTTTTTGGTTTTTTTAGTATTAAAATCCATTCTGCAGATGATTTAAATATAGGGTGTGCTGTCAGCCTGCTGCTTCCTTTCACCTCTCCTTTCCTTTTTTCATCCAAGTACCCTGGGCATTTATGAGTCAGTGTCACCTTTAGGGCACTGTTGTCAGGGCCCCTGCGTGCTGAGTAAGCCTCTTCTGAAACATATGTGGCTCTTCGTGCTCAGGTTGCAAAAGCAAACATTAAAAATAAATAGATTTTAAACATCATCTGTTTGGAATGCAGCATCATTCTATACAGGAGCTGAAGCATTTTTAAAAATGCTTATTCTAACTCTCAGGAGGCAAGGTCGAGTCCATTTAAAGGCTGCCTATTCAGACCTAGAGCCGTAGCACTTTGAAAGAGACAGCACTTGAAAAGAGACAAGGATCTTCACAGCTATGGTTCTTGCAACCCCATACAAGTACCAGTGAGCATCAGAGGAAGAATTCAGGGGAAGAACTGGATTGTGAGTGGCCTGATTAGTTAAAATGAACCTTTCCAGCTCCCTTTTCCTTTGTAATACAAAGAGTGGCAATGGCTGGAGCATTAAGCCTTCCCAGGGCATTAGACTTGAGAAGCAGACTTGAAAACTAGATGAGGGTCCACAAGAGGTATCCATTAGACTTGAGACGCTGTCTGAGTGAAGGAAATGCAGTACATTTTCGAAAAATTATTTTAGGAAAGCAGTCAACAAAATATACGCCTTCCAATGGCTAAAAATATATATTTGAACATATAGATTCCAATTTGTATGCAAGCCTTTAAAAATGTATTCACAAATCCCATCACAAAGTAAGTATAAACGTTTTAATTCAAACTGTATTTGAATTAAAAAAACAACCTGTGTTGTTCATTTGCTGGACACTATTGTACTGGGTTCATGGATGGCAAAGCTGGATATACACCTCGGCTTTGTTACTGTCTTATGCTCAAAATTGAGTTTCTCTGTTAAAAAATATGTGGGGTGTATTTTTACGAGTGAATGTTGTCATTCACTTAGTGTACAAAATGTAACAATGATGGATCATTAAAAAAAACTACACAACCTTAACTGGTCATTTACATATATTGTGTTTTCTCTTCGGCACTTGCATTATAACCTACTTAACTTTTATGTTTCTGGGCTATTTTTCACACTATATAATCCTGGAAAGTTTTGATCCAGTCACTTGAGAGAGAGTGTGTGGGAATTGGGGCATCGCAATTTGTATGGAATTGTGTCTGTCTGTTCCCCCCAGAATTTTCTTTTGAAGGAGTGGGCATCCATTCCCCAAATATGAGCTGAGGATGTACTAGAGTATGGAGATGGGGAAGTAGGTGAGCCTCTGCTACTTCAGTGCTGTGTCTTTCTTCTCCTGTATGGTTTGGGGGATCTGCAGGTAGGGTTGCTGCAGCTTCCATTGAAAATCTTAAGGCGTCCTAAAGTGCCCACTAAGTACCACAAAACTTTAAAGAGCTGTTAGCATTCGGAAGCTACCACTCTTCTGGGAGCTGTTAAGGTGTCCAGAATTCCTGAGCAGTGTAGGTTCTCCACTTAAGTCTTTCTGCCGCCTGGGATTCAGAATGCCAGAGGGCCACTTCCATAATATGGGGAGCGGGGGGTGTTAAAGTCCCTTTGAATTCTGTTGCCAGCAATAGTACAGTGAATATAATGTTTTTGCTACAGAGCCCAGCATTACAAACATATTCAATTTTGTGTGTCAACACAACAGTGTCTGCTGTGATTTGGCCAAAAAAAGATTTGACTGTAGTTAAGTGGAGCTCTGCTAGGTCTGGGTTAGGTACAATCTTAGAAATCCTATTTATGGCATGTTAGATGGGCAATGGGGGTACCGGGCCCCCCACAATCAGGTCACTCATAGTTTCTGAAAAGGGAGGTTTGAGGGTCCACTTACCTACCAGGATGTACCAGGCCCCCCAAATTTCTCTCTCAGGCCCTGGCCATACCTTGAAGCTCAAGTGTTCTTTCATCCCATTAAAATCCATTTACTTTAAGACCTTATTTACATAGGTATAACAAATCAAATAGTAGAGTTAGAATAGTAGCTGTAGAAAGCTAGGAAATCTTTGGTTCAGAAGACGTCATAGTTGTTTGTGGACTACAGGCGATAGCCACTCAGTACCTCGAAATAGTGGCGTGAATAAAAAACTCAAAAAAGGAGTGTTCTGAAAGTCAAGTCTTCATTGTTTAATCTAAGGAAGACTCTTTGGCAATTAACAGTATAGGACTTATGACACAGTTGCATAGTTCTGAGTGGATTAAGATTTATTGGGGCCCTTGGCTCCAGCTGGGGGAGGGACCCCTTCCCCTCCTGGTACTGCCAAGGGTGGGTTGGGCCTCTGTGCCCCGCGGGGGAGGCTGGGTGGACCCAGCTGAGCTGGAGGTGGGGTGGTACATGCCTTCCTCTCCTCCCTGCGCCCTACCCTCCCCCAGTCTCCACCACCATGGCCAGAGCAGAGCTGAGCGGGGTGAGGGTGGATGCAGGCTTGGTGCTCTCTGCCCTACTGCCTTTGCCCTGTGGGCCACGTGTCTCCTGCCCACCCAGCAGTGGACAACTCGCCGCCCCCACTGTGGCTGGCACGGGGCCCTGGGGCCAAAGGCAGCAATGCGGAGAGCCCCGAGCCCACAGTGAACAATCCACATCTGCCCTGTGCACAAATTGGGGGGGCATGCTCCCCATGGGGGTGTGCGCAGTGACAGGGAGCCACCTGTGGCTGCATCCCACCCCAGCCCTGAGTCCCACACAGCGCCCTTGCTGGGCATTGCCTCCCTCACTGTGGGGGCCTCAGTCTGCCCCTCCCATGCCACCTCCCTCCCATACACCTACCTGCAGGGAGCTGCTCTCCACACTGCCCAGCTGTGTTCCAGGCCATGTGCATGTGGCGCCCCCTGTGTCTCGCTCCAGCAGCCCCCTGTAGGCTGGAACGCTGCCCACCTGCAAGGGGAATCCTGCCGTTTCCCACCGGAACCCAGGCACCAGGGGGCCTCTGATTGGCAGGAGCTCCTGGGCCCAGGCCCCGCCTGCCTGTGTATAAGGCCTCAGACAACCTTCAGCTTGTCTCCTGAAACTGACTAGATTTCAAATTGACCATGTCCCTGTATCACATCATGATAAAAATATCGAAGTGTTCTTTTTGCATGTTAATGAAACTCCCTCCTTGAAAAGGTTTAATCGTATAATGACGAAGAGTAGTTTGGGGGAAATAAGCTTGAGCTTTTGAGTGCTGGAAGACAAGAACATGGAGTAAACATGCTTCTTTTTCAAGGCTTGGAGTCCTGTGAAGTTGTTCCTTTAGTGGGGAAAGAATGATGCCAGGAAGGGCAGTCTCCCATCATACGTTCTGCATTTTAAATGAGACCGATTCTGTTTGGGGATAGAGGAAGTGGTACACCTGGAATAAACTAGCTTCAGATTTTCAGAAAAATCCGAGTGTGCAGTATGAAATCGATCTTTCTCAAGGCTCAGTTTTTACTGAGAGGTCAGTAGCAAATAGTGAATATGCTGACTGCTCATTTAACTTGTGGCTTTCCATTTGGTCTTCCTATAGGAGCGTAAACCTCAGTAGCCAAAATCATAATAGAATGCAGCAGAGGAAGGGTATAGTATATATTGAAATAGAAATTATGTGATTCAAGCTCTGCATGCAGTGTGATCTGACATCACTGAAACGCAAGGAAGCCTATTAAGAACTCTGATTAGCTATCAGATAGAGTTAAAATCTGTTAGGTATAGTGCCCAGTGATGTCTAACTGGTAGCTTCTCTAGTAATAGTGCCATCTCCTTTTATAGAGAGGTGCTTGCTCTGGCAGGTCAGTGAAGCGTGTTATTCATTGCCGCCACATACAAAGTTGAGCACTCAAGTGATACTCTGTAATAAATTTAAAAATCTTTTCCTTATTGAATCCAGCACTGACTCATTCTGCTGTCATCCTTCCATTCAACAGGCTCCCTGTGTGATTTTTTTTTTTTTCTAAATGTATTATGTAAGCAGTAATATACAGGGGGGGGGCGTGTATTTTATGTAAAGACAACACTGCAGGGTGCACTGTAGGATGCAAAGTGCATAGCTGCATGCAATAAGCCATCCAGTCGGGCTTATTTCAGCAATTACAAGCCCTGGAATATCTTGTTATAGGTATACATAAATCTACGGTATTTTGGAAAGTAAACACGAATACCATTTTGAAGGTGATTTTAATTTATATAGCTGTTTGTCCCATGGCTGTGTTGCTTTTTCCCATTCACTTTGAACAGAAAATCTTGTTAATTTTCCCCACCCTAAATTTAATTTAATTCATCCTTTTTGCCATCATACAGCTCAAGTCCAGCAGACCACTTCATGAACAGGAACCCTTATGACCATGTCTAAACATGAAGTCACTGCTCTTCAGTAAAACAGCTGGAACATGTTGCAGGATGAGGGCCCCACATTCTTCTTTCAATATATCGCTGCAGTCCCTGTGTATGGCTCTGCTGAGTTTTTCCTGTATTTTTAGATGTCTCCTGTCTGTAGTTGTTTTACTTCCCATTTGTTTTTATTCACCTTGTGCTTTTTTCACTTGACAGAGATGAATTTTGATTGCAGTTGACCCAGTTGTTTCTTAAATGTTTTCTACTTCCTACTGTTGATTTTCAGTAAGTTAAAGGTTTCTTTCACTTATTTTGTATTCCTTGTAAGTTTGGTTTTTCTGGAATGTTAGATATGTTTGGTGCTGGTGGAGAGAGACTAAGACCAGGGTTTCTGGATGTTAGGAGCTTTTTAACCTTCTCTTAACTCATGTGTTTTAGAGTACATAGCAGGGAGAGGAGGTAGGCAGACATCCAACCACAAGTTGTATCTTTATGGATGCTCTCTCTAGTGGGTTATGGAATAGAGAAGATCCCACACAATTTACTGATTCGTTTTGATGCACTGGCTGGGGGAGTGGTTAGTTGATTGCACGATTTCACAATGATTACACTCTTAATTCATACAACACAATTTTATTTTAAAATTCTTTGCTACACATATAACACTGCTTAGCTTTAAGAAATACCACAAACATTAAGAACACAATAATTACATATATCAGAAACAATACTCCGAATGCACTTCCTTCCCAAACAATGTTATAAGAATTAGTATTACAAAAACAACTACAATTACAACTAAAAGTTAAATTTGAATCAATACTATTATTTTCATAATATACTTACAATCCTAGAATTCTGAGAAACCAAACACCTAAATATGGTTTCATTCCTCAGTAGTACAATTTAATGGGTTGGCCTCAGTAGTATGGTTCAATGGGCTCGCCTCAGTAATACGATTCAATGGGCTGGCCTCAGCAGTGATAGGACTAAGTCCCCTTCCTTCAGTCCCTTTCGGGTGCTCTGCAGCTTCAGCGTGAACTAAGAGATTCGTGTTCACGGAGAGGGTGGTTCAGGTGATCAGTCTGATCCGGCCTATACTTGCGATTCTTCCTTCGTTCTTCTGCAAGGGAGGTTACCTCCAAATTGGGACAGTAGGTTACAGTTTTTATTGAGTGAGTTGCCGTCCTGGGCCCCTCCTACCCAAACCTGTCACTACCCCCAAATTTGGGCTCGGATCTTACTTTACGGATTCTTTTGCTTGGTAATTAGTTTCTTTTGTTGATCATTTAATTACTTTGAGGAACTTCCATACCACTGCAAGTGACCTTTTCTTTCCAATTTTGTCAAAGGCCCTAGGGTTTGATCTCTCGGAATTTGGGATATTTGCTTAAGGGTCATTTTTAGGTTCTCTTTGTTAAAGGCCTCTAAAGATAAAATTCAAAAGTTAAGACTTTGAGCAAAGCTAGGACCTTCCACACGTAGACCAAAACAATGGCCTAGATAAGGAGATAAATCTTGTCTTCTTCCTAAAACTGGCTAATGGGCAACTATTACAAACATTCAAACTATTTCATTCAATATGACAGATGCTTGGTGAATCCATCTAATGGTAGATCAATTTATTTGTCTAGCATGGCAGTGCAGGGAGCCTCACAGGAATTTCCTGAACTGTGTATGCCCTGCGTAGCCTTCCCAAATGCACTTCTTGCAACCTCATCGGTGCTGTTGCACCATCATGCCCGGGAACTGAGGCAGCTGGGAGTACCTAGGGTTTGCTCTTAAATTTAGATTCAGCAGTGATGAACGTGGACTGAACACCTTGATAAAACATTATTATATCTCTCTAAAATCAATTTTCCCCTTTTCATGTTATGGCACTTCTGTTTATCTCTGAGTTAAATATTTTTTGGCTCCTATCACATTCTTTCATTCTGTTCCCCTTCAGATGTTAGTAATAATTTTCTAAGAAAAATAATGTACTTGCTGTATTCAGCCACGAAATTTGGAGACTCGCATGACAAGATTCCCTTCCTGCGTCTTATGAACTGTGAAATGCATTTGGAAATACCCTTTTGCAATGGAAATTGTAGGGTTTTTTTTTTTAACTTGTTCTTGGCTGTTGTACCAAACAACAGGTTGCTTTACCTCCTCAATACATATTGGTCTATCAGGTCAACACAGGAGCCCCACATAAATCAGCCTCCATCCTGTGTTAATTCCAGAAGAACGCCTGAGATTAATATTTATACAAAATGCTTTCATGTTTCTACAGTGAAATTGTCTTACTATCAAAAGAAATGGTGG